AATTTACAGAAAAAAATAATTTGGTATAAGGCACTTACTTGCGATTAAAATGTGCCGAACGTGTTTATTTAATTAGGAAATTTTGAATTTCAATAAAAATAAAATTATTTTATAGTTCATGTTATAGGTAACCAATAATAATTAATGTCAAGCATATACTCACTACATGTAGCGCATATAATACGGAGAGAGTTAAACTGCGGATATCCTACCACCTGGCTGAAATATTAAGTTCTGAACCAGACAATATTATCAAGCTCAGTCAATTTCTAACAGAAACTCACCTCATCGAGCTCCTGTAACCAACCTCGTCACTAACCTTCCATTCAAATCAAAACCCAATAGTATATAAATCTACACCATATTATATATATATATATTATAATATATTTATTATTTATATTTTTTATGAATTTATGACCTTATGTATTTGAATATTTATCTATATATTAATCCCATTTTATTTGTACATTAAGTCACAAAGTAATACATTGTAATGTCCAATAGCCATAGAAGCTGTGGATTGTATTCTAATAAAAAAAAAAATAATAAATATTATTGAGATACGAAAATTGAAATAAGTTAGAACAATTTTACAATATTTATACATGTAGATAGTATACATAAGTCAATGTGTAAGATTACTAAAAGTAATTTAGTGAAATATAATTTTTCCTGGTAAATAGTTAACTACAAAAACAAAAGGTACGATGTAAAAAATGTTTTGAATAATGTTTCAATTATGTAAACGCGTTCTTGTTCATAGAAAAAAAAACAAATACAACCATAATAACTTTAATATCTCTATGTAGGCTTCAATCATATATTTCTTTCAAATTAATTAATTTTTATTATTCCGAACATGTACAAATCTTTTTATTCGTTATCATAATAATAATATTATGACGTAATGGTGTTTTATTTCATAAGGCATAATTTATGGTTTTAATTTTTACCATTTTCTTTTATTTTATGCATCTTGTACTTTAAAATGTTTTTCTCTCACTCGAACATTTTAGAACCGTTTATAATTTCATTTTTCAAGTTAATATGTTCAACAAATTGTATTTTCATAATGTCAACCTCAAAACAAAAGTAAAATCAAAGTTGAAAACGTTATTAAAATCGTCACAAATAATAAATTATAACATATATAGATATTTTAATTTTACAATAATATGATGATGACAAAAGAATATGTTAGGTCCATTATTTGTCCATCGAAACGTTTACATCGTTTATAGAAAACTATATTGAAATATTGTGACGCGATGACCAATTGTTTAACATTCTTTTCTACTCGCTATTTCCGAATGATCTCATTCTATAACTAAGTTGGGCTCAACTTACTCATAGAAGTAAGAGTGAAAATATAACGTTGCTTAAACAATTCTATAGTTGAAGTACACCACTTTTGTTTGGGAACAATCAGTGTCCGATTCCTGTTTTATTTTGATGAAAGGTTCTAACAATCGCAAAACCGAAAAATAACCATTTTTCTATTTAAAATTTGATACTTATATATAATATTTATGTAAGCCATTTCTCAAAGTAGGTACTCACAAATCAACCGCGGTGCCGCCGTCTTTAACATTATAGCGGGTATAAAATAATCGATATCAACTCTAACAAAAACAATAGATGCGGCACGCGGCGAATAATAAGTTTAGCGTTATGCCGTTGTATACGTATTTTCCGAATATCAACGTGTTCGCTTGTGAAAAAATTTCGAAATTCAAAATTGTGAAAAGTTTGTTGAAATCAAAATCCAAGATCGTCATCACGGTTTAAGATTGCCATTGGATTTATAGAGCACAGAACACTATAATATAATTACACGCATAATCGGTATCAATTAAAATATAGACGTCGTGAATATAATTGCATTTGGATAATTCTTACATAATCACACCGCCTCAAGCATGAAAATTAAAAATGTCTTATTTTTTTTTTTATCTCATAATTTCTGCTGCTTACATTATATTCGTCCGTTTGTAATTGTTACAATGGTAATAATTGGTTAAGACGATCTCAAAACATTCTGGGTGCAAGAAAAATTTATTGCATAACAGCTGCTACACATCAAGACATGTCAGTTCAAATTTCTGTAACATTAAACGTTATCAACAATAATAAATTATTATAATAAGTACAACGCGTAATCTGAACATTTATCAAGTACAGTGTAATTTGTTTTCGACAATAACCGAAAGCGAATGGTGCAGTTATGTGATACATACAATACAATACTGTAATGTTCTTGATTGAAGAACCCGCGTTATTCACTATCGATTGAACCTCGTTTGGGGTAGATGTGGTTGGGTTCGTTCTACTCAATGGCATTTTCAATGTACAAAACTTTTGAATCAGCCCGTTTTTTGTTTCTGTAAATTGTTGCACAGCACTAAAATATGGGAACATTTGGTCAAGCATATGGAAAATACATTTTCGGATTTTTTCATCTATAAACCTTGATCATTTCTGATGTATTTCAAACTTTACAAAGAGATGGGGGGAAAATAGTCAAACAAGTAAAAACTGAGCAGGTCCGGGCCTAGTCGGCCTAACCTTGTAAACACGCCAATGGTTCTGCTTTAGACGTCACACGCGCAGTATTCGTGCTTGTAAATTTGAAAAGCTCTATGCTTTCACCTATACCTATACAACATAGGCGTGCGCAAACCTGTATTCCAGCGGGAGCTTACAATAATTGCGGCATCCATATTTAGAAAATGTGTAGATATATTGTGGTATATTAGTCCCAACGAATAGGTTTTCATTTAATCTCGTATATTAATTATTTGTATTTTTTCTATTAAGAAACATAATTTTTTTTTACCAAATATTTCTTCATTTACAATATTTCGGGGGGTGCCCGGGCATACCTGGCGTCCACCATACGCACGCCTATGCTATACAATGTCACTCACATAGGGATCGTCGAGCTAGGAAGTTGGACTACATAGCAGACATTGTCAAAAATTTACTGTACGACGACGATTCATTGTGCGCTGTGTATTGCATTATTAAATAAAAATAAGTATGATTAATAAGTTATATAGGTATTATATGTTTAAAAAATAATTGCACCAACACAACGGTTTACAGTAACATTATATGTTTATTTCATTTGTTTTTTATAAAAGTCATTAATATAATAAGGGTTATAATATAATCCAATAACTATGCTGCCAATCATGTAAATTTTAACATTTTATATATAAAAACCAGCCCGAATATTTTGTATTTAAATTCCATAATAAATAAACATAAGTACATCATAGATTTGATCCGATACATCACATTACGTGTTTATTTTTCATTTTTGTGTTTTTACTAGTCATTATACATACATACATATATATAAATATATATATAGTTCATTATGATATTCGCGACAATTTTTTTTTCTTAACTATGCCAGAGTCTTCTGAAATAACATAAAAATAAACGAATCATTTAAACAAACAATAATAATAGTAATAATAAAAATAATCGATATTTTAATAATGTATAATATGTAACTATCGCGCGGAGAAAAAAAAACAAACATAAAAACATAATAATAATAATAATAATAATATTAATAGTAGTTTTAACAACACTCTATATGATGTATAGAGGAGGAAGACGCATTCACGCAAGAGGACCGAAGGCAATGTGTGTTCGATAAAAAATAATGATAATAATTGATTTCGATAATCGTACAATAATTTCAAATATTTTTTATACGAACACCCGGTGACCGGTATGTGTATCCGGTTACGTTGCATATATACGTAATATAATATATATATATAATATTTCGTGTATCGGTCGTTTTCGCGACGTTACCCTACACTTTAGACGACGATGACACTACACGCGGTGTATCTATACCAAGTGCACACAAGGAGGAAACCTGTCGCCAATACAAGTTCTGTAAAATACTATAATATAAAAGTATATGTACAACACCCAACGTCCATGGCGGAAGGAAAGGGTTCTACCAAGCGCGTCGTCACTCGTCCGGGGCGACGAAGCGCACAAAAACGTGCGGGCCTACACGACCGAGAGAAGAGAATAAACAAAAACAAAATCGTTGGCCAACATTATAATGATATAGCGACTATGCGTTCGTAATACAATATATGATATCCGTGTGTACGGGTACTATACCGCGTACAAGTATCGATACCGTGATCGCGGGGTTCAGGAACTTGAAAAAAAATTTGACGAGAAGGTATAAAATGTGGAAATAAAACGCAAACGACCATCTCCCATTTACTCATCGAATCGCGTTAGAATCGAATGGCATGAGTAAATAATATAATATGTAAGTAAAAATGCATTGGAAAACTGATTGGCTGAAAACGGCAAAAATTATCCAATACGCGAATCTATGTATTATGTACGAGGAGATTAACACGAACTTCGCACTATAACCTTGTCGAGCCTACTACAAGTCACCATCACCACCACCGGACCGGTTCCCCTTTAATTTTATACCTAATAATATCATATTTTATTTTTGAGATTGCAGTGTACTAATTAAAACTTATTATTTACATCGATAAAATACTATTTCCTTTAAAATAATAATATTATATTTATAGTTTTATATTTATATTTAACTCTTTTGATTTCACGAAGCTAGAAATGGCTTTATTTATTTTTATGTTCCATTAAATATATTAATATATAACTTAATTATTTAATCATCAGGGACAGAAACCTGTTTTCGAATATTAGATATAAATTCTACTATTGGTCCGTGTACATAGTTGAGCCTAAATTTCATTTTTAATTGTTAAAAAAATTTATTGTTTTCCAAAAACAAAATGTATAGATAATGATAATAATGACAGTAATAATATTAAAATCTAATCGTGAAATCAATATTCCATCGACTGTAAATTAATTATTGAGTTGAGGTTACCGGGGGAAGCTCAAATAACGAATTATCTTGATAATACAACAATAAAACCAGACCTATATAATATATTCAGGAAGACTACATGTAAAATCAATGTCATCAATAATATAATAATAGCAATAATAATAATGATAATAATAATAATACAAACAAATCGCGGATAACTAATATTAGTAGGATATAAACACAGGCTCTGCCGTATCTCTAAACATCTAAAACAAAATTGCGTAGAGCTTCAATTTACATTTCGCTCCCTCCATACCAGCAGCTGTAGAAGTACAATATTATTACGTTTATTAAATACAAACGGAGTTGATGAGAGAAAGAAAAAAAAAACTAAACAATATTAATAATAATAAATAATACATTTTAATAACTACCAGCGCTGGACTTTGAAACACGGCTTGGCCACTTCCGCAGTACGTTTATACTATCGATATTTTATACATATAAAATATATGCATGTTATATGTATACATGTATAACATAATAATTTATAATTATGTATATAATAATGGTGCATTTTACAACATTAACTGTTAATTAATAAGGCACAACGACTTAAATACTATACGAATTAAATACGAATACAAATCAAACTAAACAAGATTGCGATCGTGGACTATACATTTTTTTGTTTCGTGGGCGAACTCATGCACAGCTCAGGAACCATCATCACAGTTCACCGAGGAAGAAACAGATCTCACAGTTCGACCACATTTTTGCCACCCGCAACTGTTATACGTCATAATATTGTATTGTTTATAATACGATTATGTATTGTAAAAATAGCGGTTATGCGGTATCTGCGGTGTTGATGTTGCGATTGCATATCGCAGGGCGAAAAGACGCACGACAACAACGAGTTTGTTTAATATCGTATTAATTGTCGTCTGAATATTATTTACACGCCAAGGATTTTTTTTTTTAATTTTTTTAATTTTTATTTATTATGATATATTTTTACAGCGAGAAGAAGTAAATAAATCGGGAATTTCTTTTTAACATTAATTGACTTGTCCAAAATAATGAGTAAATATACATATTTATATATATATATATATATATATAAATATATATATTTATATATATATATATATATATAAATATATAGATATATTTTTTTTAAATTTAAGCCACGAATTTTGTTGTTGCATAATAACGTGCGATAATACATAAAATACGTATTACCATCATCGTATCACAGATAGTATATTATTTAAAATAGTATCTTGTTGTAGTATCCGACGTGATTTGTATTTTACGGGAGTGCTGGTTGCTGCACACCCCGGTTTGGAAATGTCTTTGTGTTCGTTTGTCTTTTAGAATAACATTAAAAACGACAGTTCATTTATAAATATGATTATGGCACGGCGACGGCGGCTGTACCTATGCGATGGTGATAAGGCGACGTGTCCTCCTTCTCATCACCATTGGTTGTAGTTGTTGTAGTCACCGTAGTACTGCCCCGGGCCGTAGTTGTGATGGTTGGGCCTAGCTATGTGCTCGGTAGAACAGCACGAATGAAACCGGTTGTTATAACCGCCACTGGCGTACGACTGTTCCCGGTTGTTGTAGTATTGGTTGGGCGGTGGTGGCGGCGGCTGTTGCTGGTAGTGCATCCGATCGTATGACGGTCGGTAATACTCTTGTTGCTGGTGGTTCTGATACAACGACGGGGGCGGCGTCGGCTGCTGGTGATGGTGATGATACTCCTGGTGGTAACGTTGCTGTTGGGCGTGTTGGTTCCGGCTGTACGGGTCATGGTGGTACGGCGGTACTTGCAAGTGCCTTCCGCCGACGACCACGGCACCACCGGCCGCCGAACCGGACATATCGTAACCGGTGTACTGTTGGGCGGCAACCGCGGCCGCTGCCCGAGTCTGCTTGTTGCGCCTGTGCTGGCCGCCGCCACGTTGCGTCCTGCCCCGCCGGTTTTGCAGCCGTGGTGGTTCGAACGCGGCCACGGACGACCGTTCTTCCTGCTGAGCGGTCCCGGAACCGGGCACCGAAGACACTCCTGGCTGGCCGGCCGATTGGCATTCATTCATCGAAGCATCTTTCGGCGGTTCGTAATATTCGTGCTGTGAAAACCTGCCTATCTCGGTAGACCCAAAGGCCTGATGGAAGTTGGGCAATCGACCGTTGGGTTCGTGGCCCTTACACGGCAAGTCGCCAAGTTTGACATTACCGCTGCCGTCGCTGCTACCAACTACTGCAGTTGCTGCTGACGCTGCTCCTGCTCCTCCTCTACTTCCACCTCCTCCTCCTTCACTCCCACCTCCTCCAATTCCTCCACCACCGCTACCCCCGTCACCAACGTCTTGTCGATTACCGTGGTCGACTTCATCGTTTATGATGCTCGAAAGCCAGTCAATGGACTCCTCCTGAGGATTCGATAAAAAGAAATAAAAAAAAATACAACAAACAAAAACCGATATTAACAGAACGGCGGAACGGAGAAATGCAAACGGACCGATAATGACATATATTGGATGCATGGATAGGTTAAGTATATGATTGGCACGCACACGTTTTCACTTCGATTAAAACTATATAAACAAAACAGTGTGCGCGCGCCGAATCGGATGACAAGACGAGGAATATTAATATAAATTTCAAACATTACGCTTACCTTGATGATCTTGTCGTTTTCGTTCATGTTTTGATGGCCACCCAAGAAATCTGCCATGGGATCCATATTAGCTTGGGAAACCGGATGGTTGTTGCTGGCAAACGATTCCGCCGAAGATGTTGTCGCTCCTGAAACAAACGTGTAAATAGATTACGTCAGTTTCAGAAATCACTGAACGTGAACAACGGCAGAGCACGATTTTATAAGAGGACAAAAAATTCACCTGTCGACGTAGTTTGTTGATAACCATGGTTCAAGAAATTTCCGGTACTGTCACCGATATGTGTGTTGCAAGCGTTATGTGATAAACCAGCGTGCTGAAATACAAATTTAAATGTAATCATAAGTTCAATTTGACGTGTTCTCTCATTTTACATTAAAATATAACACTCCGCATACATCACGCGAATGTTTCATATTCAGTAATAAACCCGAAACGTCTCGCGGACTTCTACTCTTTTGACCCAGACTAACTCGTCATGTTGCATTATAAAGGTACACTGAGTAATTTTTTAATTATTCCAGTCCGGATAACTGCGAAAACATAATTGAAAATCTAGAGCGTACTTAAATTTTAAAAAATTTATCAACTTTTGAAACGAGTTTGTACTACGCACAAGGCTTCCGTGAGAAAATACTTGCGGGATATCGATATGGTTGGAATACAATAATTTAACAAAAATGTTCGTCTTAAATGTTATTCTATATTATAATTGGATAACATACGAATTCAGGCACTAATTAAGGTAATTAATTTGATAATGGAATAAATTACTCGAGATAATATTGTTTGAATTTTCTACAAACCACAGTGTAATATTATATTGTTTTATAAACCCTGAACGTGGTTCAAGAATAACAATAATGTTGAGCGAACCCGATTGATTATATAGGCTATTATGTAAAATCTCGTATAAAATATAGCCGTTCTTCGTTTATCGTCTGACGTTAATTTATAATAAATCAAAATGAATACAAAACGATTCTTCGCATAAGAACATAATTATTCAACATGCATTGGAAGACTAAGAACGCCTTGGATATTTCTCGAAAGGTATTACACACGCTCCGCAAAGTATGAACTATCGAATATCGCTGTAGTGTAAACACTACAAAGTGAACCGTATTTTCGCCGTCTCACGCGCAATCCCGTACTTCGGAGAACCGGTTAAAAATAATAAAAAGAGCTTACCATTTGCCCGTGATCGCCGCCAGGTGAGGGTGAACCATACCAAGATGACTCGGAAGCGGCGTAATTGAAGTAACCCGCGTCGGGCTGCGTCCCGTATCCGATGCCGCCATACGGCGTGTAGTCCGGTTGCTGTTGGTACTGCTGCAACATGGTTACCGAACCGCTGTCGCGTGCCACCGAACAAGTCGTCTCGTTGGTCGGCTGTGACCGGTGACTTGTGGTGATAGTGGTGGTCGTGCCGACGGTCCGGTTCGGCGACTTGCAGATCACCTGATGGGTCACGCCGGGGCTGGTGATGACGAACGGACCACCGCCACTCAACCGCCGCCGTTCGTCGATTCTTTGACAGTCACGGTGATCGAGAGGCGGTCGCACGTGTTCCGCACCGTTATCTTGGTGTTTCGATATCTCACCGTGATCTTGCCGCAGTTTTTCTTTACCAAAACTGTGAACTTCGTCTTTCGGCCAACCGCACACCGAATTCAAACGGTCAACGGTGACGTTCTGTACCTTCTGAAATGCGAAACAAAAAAAAAAAAAAAAATAATAATAAATAATCAATCCGTTATCGTATGAATGCGCTTATGTAAAACAATATACATAGGCTCTTGGAGAAAATCTTTAGTTAATCTTTGATCTGTACGTTTCTGAAACCGTCGTGGGCACGCACACGATGAGAAATACCTAATCGTAACGCTCGCAATTCGTTTCGATTTCGAGCGTTTATACGCACGGGCGAGTGTACATTCGTGTATACACATAGGCGCACCCACATGGGTTGCAGGGCGTGCGGTACCACCCCCAGTGATTCAGTTATAATTGATATTACATAATAATAATTAGATATAAATATTAACTAATAAATTGAAAACGCATTGAAGTGGTGCAACTATATAATTGACACGAAGACTTTAATAATTAGTTAATGCTGAAATACAAAAATCAATATAAACATTAAAAGACTGTAAGTTGTTTTTTCGAAAAAATAAGTACCAAATGTATTTCAGTGAAAATGTTCTGCGCAAGTCTAAACATACATAGGTTATACCTATATACGACGTTTGATTTAAAACTAGCTCATGGTTTTCATCGTTTCTAATATCACGAGTGTATTAAAATCGTATGTTGAATTCATGTTAAATATTTAAATAAATAAACAACGTACACAATACAACCTAAAACTTCGTACCTTTTAAAGTACAATACGTTCAACGTAATTATACGTTGTGCTCGTCATGATAGGCACTCAACATTTTTGTTTACATGAATTTCTTGTAACCCGTAACCGGTAGCATTACATTTTTTACATATATATATATATATATATATATATATATATATATAATACTATCCAAGATAAAATATTTTATTATGAATTAGATAGCATTTGTGGTAGAGAATCTAGAAAATTCATTAAGCATTTTTTTACGAGATAAATTTGTAAAAAAACTTTTGATCTATTATTTATTATTAACCACCTTACTGCTGAATGAATATACATTTTACCTAAATCTTATGAGCTTTTTCTTTTAAAAGTTATGTCCACTTAATAATATATTTATGAGATTCACTTGGTGTTCCATTAAAATGTTACTGCTGTTCGTACAACACATTTTCACTCGATTTAATTAAGTATCTGCCTAGGGATAATATTATATAATTAAACATGTAATTAATCAGTGTTTTTACCTGCTTGTTGGGTCGACGATGTTTAAATCTACTTTGATCCTAACTTAATAATTTAACTCTCATTTTATAACCAAATAGAATATTTTAAAAGCAACTTTATTAAATATTTAATTAAAAATATGATGTTACGTATCGTTGAAAATTATTTTATATTTATTTACGGTTTTATAAAAAAATATAAGAACTTAAATTGTTTAACTTCACTGGTATACGTAGTTTTATAATTCTATACATTATTTTCAAGTTATCTAATTTGTTTTAATAATTATTTATACTCACATGTATTCAGACAATAATACGGTTTATAAAAAGTATAGGTTAGACATTCGCAAAAAACACTTGATGTATGTAGTGAACATTTGATGGTAAAAATAAGAAACATCAATATTTATTTATTCGAATTAAAAACCCTTTTTAATATTATATTAATAATTCAATTTAATGATTATTGTCAATATGTATCAAAAAAAAATTAATGAAGAAAACCAATTTCTTAATCAGTTATAGGTTAAATTATCAACAATCCAAATTCTAAACCACGGCGATTCTTCTGAGTTATCAAAGTTTTGAGTTTTTAGAACGAATACATTCTTGTCGGGATGTGAAAATAATATAATATTTTTAGTGAAATAGGTTTCGGTAAGACTTCTAGAAGTGATTGGGTCTAACGTGCGCGTGAGAAGTCCTACTTGTAAAAATCAATCCGGTCAGCTAGAAAAAAAAAAAAAAAAAGAAAAGAGGGAAGAAAAGAGCAAAATTCTACTAGACTGTACTTTAACCGCAGTAAGAGTGCGATACATTTAGAAGAAAAATAAATTCATTATTCTAAGTGACGAAATACTATATTGTTTGTCAGTTGAGGTGACGATAGTAAAAAAATTATTGTCTGTAACCCCAAAAAAATCTTATATATTACATTGCCGAAGACTATATTTTATCGAAATTATGTCCACATAGAGTATCAGTATTCTAAAGATAATCTTTCTGGTGTTGCCGAGCCAGACAAATATATAGTAAAACGTCAATGATCAGAATTTGTCATTTCCAAGGATTTTTAGACAGTCGATTAACTCGAATAATTATGTATAAAATATATATTATAGTACATCAAGTACATAAAAGGTTAATACATTAATTTTTATTCAAAAATAAAGGACTTAAGTACAATCACAAATATTAATTTCCCGTATTTGAATTCGACGATTATCTTACATTTAGAATTTGATTAGAAATGTTTACCAAGTTGATTTTAACAACCATTTAATACGAAAAAAATGTTGGAATTCGCCCGCATCGACTATTTGCATCTCACGATAATCACTTTTGTTCGCATTCATTAACCGCGATAATTTTAATCGTTTTCCTGTCATTACGTTTTCCGTTCAAAGAAATAAAAAATCGAATTCACCAAGACGAATCGGACGAACGGTTTCATTGTAATCAGTACGGACACATTAACGTTCACTGGAAACGATTAAACATAATTATTTTGAAGACACGATATGGTGTACCGAACACCAGTGGCGAATACCAGGAATATTTTACCATACGGGCGGTGTACCGGTAGTAAAAATATCTGTTCACGTTCCGGAGGAGTACACGGTAGTATTATAATTTTCTGAACGCCTTCGACGAACAGAATACGTGAGGGCATATACGCCACGGGTACGTGTTTCGGAGCGGAATCGTAATACCCGCGCACGTATAGTACAGTATACGATAACGATGCGGCGGTTGGTATCTCGTACGGACAACAGTACCCGCCGACGACGTCGGAGCCGTAAGGTACGGCCACACTGCACGCGATTTGCGATACGAGCGATTAGACGAGCGATATTGTCCAGCGATTTTTACGATTTTGGTGTGGCCACTTCCGCGTTTTTATTGCTATGTCAAAGTAGGTTGTTACATATAATCACTAGTTGTTTGTCACCAGTCGTCGAGATGACTTCATACAAATCGAATCGTAAACGTAAAATACTTTTATCTGAAAATTGTGCTTCATTAGAAGCTGAAGTTGACTTATTTAAACAACGATTATGGGTGCATGAAATAAATAAACACCGAGAAACCGAAGGTGAATTTCACACTCTTTTTAATAAACTTCAAAAGCACCCGGATACATTTTTTGAATACTGTCGTATGGACGGAAACACCTCCAAATCGGTTCTTTCATGAAAATTGCTGACGCCAACTTTTCCGACTGGACGGGACATGGTGATTGAACAACGATTACAGAGCGATTAACCGCAAAGAAACAAACCATTTTGATTTTGACGCGATAGACGCGATTTATCGCAAAACGCAAATCCCACAACGCGCTCTATGTGGCCATGTCATAGCGATTCTGTAGTTTTGAAAAAATCGCTAGATAAATCGCTCGCATCGCAAATCGCGTGCAGCGTGGCCGTACCTGTAGAGAGCGAATCGCTAGAGATAAATCGCGGACGGCTGCTGCGGTGACAATAATAACTGCCTATTTATATGCGCGCGCGTTGGCCTCGCGCGAAAACGCATTTCCGGTACGCGACGTACGTGTTGCATTTACAAACGTACTGCGCGCGCGTTCCAGAGGATTTCATTTCATTTCACCGGTCCGTAGAGCGCGGAGAACACGGTTTTGAACGCATACGCGGGAACACATACGACGTTCGCACACGCGCGCGCACGGCACACATTAAGCGGTTTGCTTACCTCGTACGTGTTCCGGTGTACACGCGCGATACGTGTTCACGCGAAACACGTTGCGCACGTCGTACAACATATGCACGAAAATCATACGGTGCGCTGCGTACATACGACACCGTAGGTGTGTTGCAGTCGGGTAGGTTTTTGCGGTGTCCGCAACAGCCCGTACGGCAATACAGTTGTCATCCAACATAATCACGAGCCAAAAACTTTTCAACGGTCCACCCCGCGCTACGACATATCTCTTAGCGCAACAGTATTACACACGTTTATTGCAGAGGCGGCCAAATTTTTTTTCGGCCACGACCAACGAAAAATATACTTCACCTTTGAAGATCGACTCTCGTGGAAAATTTTTTTATGAACCACAATAAAAGATAAGAACTATACAGATAAAATGTATCGACAGTTTGTTCACAACCACCGCGATTGATTTTCGTGCACGCGGCCAAAAAATAAATTCTAACATAGATCGACTCCGAGATCGTCCGTTCGGCCGCCGCCGATTTATTGTGTACCAATAATCCCGATCTGCTGCCCGCGAACAAAAATGCACTATTCCACCGCTCGCAAATCCGTCCAATCGTACGTGTCCGCCCGCTGCTACCGCTTCAGTTACATCATTGTCGTTATCGAGCGACACCGGGCAGCGAGTCACTTGCAATTTGATATTAAAAAGCATCGCGCACTTTTCATAACTACTACTGTTACACACACATCATACGCGCGGACGAGAATTATTAACGACGACGAGAATATTCTATTGCAGTACGATATATAAGCGCGTGTAAACATGTTTTTGTCATTTTTTTTTCCTCCTCGGTCTCGTCTCTTCCGCCGCTGTTGCGTGATTTTAACACCACGTGCGCACGGTTTACAAAATAAAATAAAAAAAAATCCACTAAATTCGTCAACCACCACACGTCGCTTTAACGATTATTGTTATTGTTATTGTTATTATTATTTACGAAAAACGATGTTAAACCCATTGCCGTATACACAACAACGCGACGCGTGTTTGCGAATTCGAAATTACTGTTTTTCGTCGTGAATAAAAATCACTACTACGTTCCCAACCCTCTCACGTAACAGACCAACCAAAAAAACAACATACACATTCCTAGAACTATAATAAT